CCGGGTTCGTGGGGCAGGAGAGGCGCGCGTCGGAGGCCCCCACCCCCGTCGCCCGGGGTCCAAGGCCCCTCCGCGCGCGCGACGCCCGGACCCGAGGGCCTTGTCGGCGGGCCAGGCCCACCAGCCACTCACCTCCGCTGGGTCAGAACCGAGGGGCCTGCTCTAAGCCGTTTGAAACCGCTTGGGCCGCCGCACACCCCGCAGTGTCCTCGCCGCTCATTGGTCCTCGGCGGACCGCCTCCCGGCCGCTCATTGGTCCGTTTGAAAGGACTGTGTGCACGCGCCGCCCGCAGCGTTAAAGGGGCCGCGCGAAGCCGAGCTTCCCTAGGGACCCGGCGCAGCTTGCTTAGGTGGGGCAGCTGGTCGCTGGAGGGAAAGCTGCCGACCACCTGGGAGAGAAAGGCGGAAGGTGTGTGTAGAGCAGTGCATCCCTGGCCGTCAGTATGTTTGTTTTGTTTAATTACAGATGTTCAAGCTGGTGTCAACACCTGACAGGTTTTTTTTTTGAGTCATTTCATTCACCAGATATCGATTGTGCTGGGAAGGAAGGGAGAGGCAGCTGGGATGGAGACGAAGGAACAGCGCATGAGGCCGGGACGTTGGATTCTGGTCTCGGACCTGCTCTGAGTAAACCACTTTTCTCAGTAATTTTCTGGAGTTTACTTTCCTTATCTGTATAATGGGATAACGATGTTTCCCCTTACAGGTTTAGTGGGAGGAGTTAATATAACTAATTGAATGTCCAGGAAAGGCCTTTATGAACTGGAACACATCCTGCAAATGCTTAATGCTACTTTTATAAAAATGAGAGGCTTGGTTAACATGATCTCTAGAATGAATTGTAGTTTAGCTCTATATTCAGTGTTTCTATGAGTAAGATCGGGTCCTTCCAAGGAATTTGTAATCTACCATGGTCAGAGGAATATAGCATACAGACTAGTCACTAACTTCAAAGCAACATGAGAACTATATACATGAAAAGCTACAAATGCTTAGAGACAGGAGAAACTCAATGGAGGATCTATGAAGAGGATGAACTTTTAATCTGAGGTTTAGAGGATATGCAGATTACCAACAAGCTGAAAGATGGAGAGGGGATGGGTAAAAGTAAATTAAACAATTATATTTTATCTATCAAATTGGCAAAGATGAAAAAGTTCAACAACCTTTGGTTGGTAAAGATTTGGAAAAAAAGATGCTCAAAGTTACGGTTGGTAAAAGTATAATTGGTGCAAACTTTTAATAGGACAATTTGGCAGATACTGAAATGTACATAATCTCTGGCCCAGTAAAGCCACCATTTTCAAATATGCAAATAAAAGTGTACAAGGATGTTTGCTGCAGCACTGCTAAGATGAGGAAAAAAATCTGAAAATTATATGTCTACAACAGGGAACTTTTTATATAGATTGTGGTATATTCATTCAATAGAACACTATGCAACTGTTTAAAAAAATGGGGTTAATCTATATGTGCTAGAGAAGAAAAGTGCACCAATTTTTTGTTTTTATTAATTGGAAAAAAAGGATGCCAAGTGTGGTGGCTCACACTTGTAATTCCGGCACTTTGGGAGGCCAAGGCTGGAGGATCACTTGAAGCCAGAAGTTCAAAACCATCCTGGGCAACATAGCAAGACCCATCTCTACAAAATAATAATAACTTTAAAAGGCAAATTGCAGAAAAGCAGATGTGGAATGATTTTATTACATATGGTTATAAATGTATATATTTGTGAGCATGCCCAAAAATGATTAGAACACTCCTGTATTATAAGAAACTTAATAGGAGTAGGACTTGGTAGAGAGGAAAATTAACTTATTACCACTGACTTGTTTCTTTTTTCTTTCACAGAAGGAGCAAGGAGAATATTTAGTAGTGAGGAAAGTACGAGCCAGGGCACAGAGACAAGATTATACATTGTATATATGGGATTAGTGCATGTGGTTTTGATTTTAGGACAGGATTTATGTTGGGAAGCAGTGGAACACAAGATTGACAGAGAAGGTTAGGAATAATTCCTGAGGGGTCCTGAATACCAGGATAAGAAATGTGTACTTTATTAAGTAGATAATGGGAAGCTATTGAAGGTTTCTGAGCCAGAGAGTGACAAATCAGAATTGTACTTTAAGAAAATTAATTAGCTTGATTTAAATGGGTTAGAGTTGGGAACCCAGTTAGGAGTCTGATATGAGGTGTTAGCAGTAAAAAGGGTGAGAACAGGTCCAGAGAGAGTGAAAGATTTGGCAATGGACTAGATTAGGTGCAAAGGCAGGGTGGATCCCACTTCAGGAGATGAGTCAAAGAGAATACCAGGATTTGATTGCCTAAAGGAAAGTAGAAAGTCAGGAAAAGCTGGGCTCGGTGGCTCAGCCTGTAATCCCGCGCCTTTGGGAGGCTAAGGTGAGTGGATTGCCTGAGCCCGCGGGTTTGAGACCCGCCTCGGCAGCAAGACGTCATCTCTACAATAAATCAAAAAATCAGCCAGGCGTGGTAGCACATGCCTGTAATTCCGGCTACTTGGAAGACGGAGGCGGAAGGTTCGTCGGAGCCAGCAGCTCCAGTCTGGGCGACAGAGTGAGACTCCAACTCAAAAAAAAAAAAATAAAAATAAAATAAAAACAAAATGGCAGCATCACTTAAAGGC